CTATTTCAAAAGAATAATTAAATAGTTTATCGTTTCGTCTTTTAAATGAAACATATTGCATAACCTTGTCAAAGGAACAAAGTGCATTCGCATTTTTGGTTTTGACAACTGCCGGTTTTTTATGCAGCAGTTCAAATCATTTTCTGCTTCTATTGTCATAAACCGAATGTAAAAAGAGTTTTCCGGTTTTGTGCAGTCTATCGACGCCTGTTGAGAGGAAATCCCGCAGAAATGCAATGCAAGAGATGTAATCAAAGTTTAGCAAAAATGAGTTCTGTTTCTGTAAATGCCTTACTTTTGTTTGCAATTTATTGTTGCGTAAAATTATGTGTGAACACGAACATCAAAGCCATCACTTTGAGCGGAGCTAGGGAAAGAGAGAGCGAGTGAGTCCTGTGTGTATGTTGATAGTGTGGAAAATGTTCACTCTAATTGAGTTCGGACAAAATTTTGCATTTTCATAGACGCAATTCCTTTCACATTTCATTCTGCCAACTAAAATGCTCATCATTTTGCAAAACATACAAATTGTACGCGATGTTTTCAGCGACCGTCTTTTTTTCATTCATCTATTTATAGAGCTTTTAAACGACGACTTGTTTTCATGTGATTTTGACATTTCATCTATATTGGCCTTGAGCACAAGCGATATTTTCTCTTTCGATGCATTTAACATATTTTAGTCGGTTCGCTTTGACTCTGCCCCAAATATTAAATACGTCCGAAATGTTTATGCGTTGGATTTGCGAAGTGAAACACAGCGTTGATAAAATTATTGATGATTTCAGTAGCGAGGAAGATATTTATCGAAACCTGTTTCATTCAATCACAGCAATGCAAACATCAGAGCAACACACATTTTGTGAAATTGTTTATTTGTTGTGCGATGTAAAAAGCTCTTTCATGGCCAATACTCGTGTATTTTTGGCAATTTTTCGCATTCACGGTGGTATGTTCCCTGGCAATTTGCGGTTGATGGAAGAAGAGCATTGCGCGCGTCATACATTTCAAGAAATAATAAAAAACGAATAGGTCATTGCACGGTTTTCATCAAAAATTCTGTGGAAAATAAAAATCGTGGGTACGCGATTTATTCAAACAATAAGCAAACAGTTATTTTAACCTAGTTTCAAGCTTTAAACAAATAAAGTCGATTATATGAGAGTGGATGCGAGCCAGATGCCCACATTCATCGTTTTTTTTCTTGCACTACGATGCCGCGAGTCTATTTATCTTTCACTCTTTGAATCAAGCATAACAATTGCACGGACAAATCATGTGGTAATTTATTCTTTTTTGCTCTTCTCGCATACCGGTGTGCGCGCAACTATTTTCTTTTTATGAAATTCAACGATTTTGTTTTCTTTTCGCAATTTTCAATTTGTTTTCCTTTCTATAAAACAAAGAACACACACACAACTTTTAATTCATTCAACATTTTGTGCCGACAACAAATTCATTCCGACGAATTGAATGCTCGCGGTTCGTGTACACATTGAAATTGCGAATAAAAGATGAAAAATTACCAAATATAAATAGAATTAACTTGTAGATGATGATATCATACGGGACACGGGATTTATATATTCGAATTGAGATTGTTGCTGACCACCATTAATTTGTAGTAAAATTTATTTTTCCTCAATTTATCTCATTTTCCTTGCTCCTGTTTTCTTTTGCGTTTCTCAAACAGCAAAGTCGGTCAACGCTTTTCATGCATCTTTTTTGTTCACATCTAAACACACAATCCAACGAATTTTACTTTGGCAAATAAACCCATAAACAAGACTTGTTTTATATGCTCTATAGAAACTGCTGCATAAAGTCAACGAAAAGATTTGTTACGATGATCTATGTTTGCAAAGAGAGAGAGAAAGAAAAACACACACATTTCTTTCATTCAGGCGAATTCGATTGTAAACATACGATGGTAAATCCATGCGAAAGATTTATTTTTATATCAGATTTTGTTCACATTCTTTCGCCATTTCGGAGCGCAAAAAATGTGAAATAAAAAAAGTGAACATTTTGTATAAATTGTTTCTGGGTCATTTCCGCGTCGAATGCGCTTGTTCTAGTACTTCCTTTTACACGATACAAAGGAACAAAATTAGATGGAATCAATTCTTCTTTGAGATTTAACACCTGTTCAGCTGCACACTGAATTTCCGTTTCTATCACGCACGGTTTTTTTATTTTTCGAAAGGAAATCGGAATGCATTATCCGAATGGTAATCTGCATATTCCATTAATTATAAAATAGTGAAAAAACGAGTGAAAATGGAATGTATTCAAAAATGCAATCAGACGGTGTTTTATCATGAAAAAAGCATCGAATAAAAAAAAACATTTTTTTTTCTTTGATTAAATTGAATAGTAACCATTTGGGCGAGTGGTAAACTGGAACAACAACATTCAATCGAACAAAACAACAATCGCGTGCTTCGAACAAATATTCTGCCGAATAAAAAAGCGGCTTTTATTGATTCCCACACCTTAAAAATGTGTACATTCTTAGTATTCGTATGTTTATTTATGTCGTGGTAGCGTATAAATTGTGCCGCACCGTATTTTGTGAATTGTGTTGGAGGATTCCCGTTTGTTAGATTGGAACGGTGCTGAATTTTGTTTTTGCCATGAACAAAATGACCTGCAACCAAAAGCCCCATTGGATTCAAAAAGCGACATGAATTATTGCTTTATATGTGGATGATGGTCTATGGCTTACGGCTTTAATTCGAAACAAAATGACACAACGACAAAAATTGCTATTACATTTTCGTGTTGTTCGTCATTGTTTATGACATTCCTCGTTCGATCAAAGGACGAAAACTGCGACGGAATACAGTTTTATTTATGATTATCTCATTTGAGCCATTATTATTTGCATTTTCTTCGGCGTAGATAAAATGCGACGTCATTGTATGTTATCACATAAATCATAAGCTACTGCTTTGCATATACGATAAAATCTCAATCAAAGATAGTAGTCGGGTAGTTTGCAAAATGACTGACACAATTGTCGGTTTTATATTTTCACATTTTTTTATTTTTGATAAAACTTTAAGCAGACAGCTTGGCTTTACTACTTGAAAAGGTACGAAAATCAATGGCAAATGGATTTGCCGACAACGCAACCAAATAATAAAATAGATTATAGTTTTTCCACTTACTTTATAATCTAATGGGCATGAATTAATCCCATCAGTATAATTCCCAACGAGTTGAAAAGCTTTTGCAAAATGAGTTTTTCCATTTTAGTTGAGTGGTGTACTCCAGCAAAGGAAAAAAAAATTGATAATACTTGATCTGATTCTCCTAAAATCAATTTTAATTTGCATAGTCATCAAACACATTCACAAGCGGCTCACATGCTACGTCCACCTCATTTATGGAAATTTTAAAGTTGACCGGTGTGTGTGTGTTGTCATGGAAATGCAATGCTTCATAACACAATTTTCGGCCACATATTGAATTCCACTTCGATGGAATTGAATTGTTTCAGTCGATTTTGTTTGTGAAAGCATGACAGTTGATTTTCCGTACCTACGTATATGTACCTAGAAATTTCGGTATTAAATTGATGCGATATAAAGTGGTTCGGTAATCGTTTGTGAAAATTTCCGTTTATTTAACCGAATCGATGAATTGAAAATATTTACTTCAAATGAGGATATTAAACTATGTTTGATGAGTATCCGGATGTGGTACGAGATCCGAACGAACCACATTGCACAATTTCAACATTTTTGCATCGAATCGCATTCACCGTACTCCATGCATCGTTTTATATCGAACGGGTTAGTCTTTTAATTTTGTGGCAAAAAATTTCGAGGCCTCCAAATACTAATTAATTTCGATTTATTTCGGTGGATGCGATGGTATCGCATTCAAAATGCAAACTGATCAAAATTATTCAGTTAACCGAAAATGTTTGCATTCGAAATTATTCTCGGCATATACTCAATAATAAATAGTTAAGCCATATGATGCATTGAGTTTGTTAAAAGATTGAAATTGGCAAAACATGTTTTTATGGTAATTATGGATTTTTTTTTTTTGAAAATTAGTTCAAGGGCTTTACTCAATTTTTCCACCGAAAATACGAAAACGTGAACTATTTCGTTGAATTCGAGAGCATTTCGTGTTATTTCACTCTCGCTATAAGCCGACCCAATTGAATCGCTTCTATTATGCATTTTAGATATGACGACGATTCATAAATCATAATTAATATTCCAAGTGAATTTATTCATTTTTAATTGGTTGGTTAAAATGTCGCATCGATTCATTCTAATTGAAATGATACATTTTTGTTGTTGGTATTTTCAAAATTCCATTGAATATGCATGAAGTACATATTCAAGAGGTTTGTTCATCTCCAACGACTGGTAAATGGTTCATTTCGGTTATACTGAATCGGTTTTTAAAATATGTTAAACAAAACAACAATGTATAATTTATCAAATGACAAAAATAGTCTGAAAAACATTCAAAGTCAAGTTGAATATGGGGCACACAAAAAAAAATCACAAGACAGAATAAACTAACCTTTCAAATGAATTGTTCAAATGAAATGATGAATTGAAAAGGTTATTTTAGTTTTGATAATTTATCGGAGGTTTCTTCACAAAACTGAATTTTTTGCAGTTCGTATAATGGATCCGTTTTTTTAAAAAACACCAGACAATGTTCTGTGAACAAAAATGGCTGTGAAAATTGGCAAAACACATGATTAAAATGAAAAAAAAGAAGCGAATAGGATGAAGTCACTTCTATTTCAATGAAATGTGGCATTTCGAACGGATTCTCATGAACAATACACGACGATTGCGTATTTGGACTGCGTTCGTATAATTAAAAGAAATATGAATGATTATCGTCATTTCCTCGACTCATTCGACGAAGAGCCTCGTCTCATCTAAGAATTAATTTCTTTTTATAATCTAAAAATATCAGTTCGTTCAATTAACTAATTTTTTTTCTTCTTTTCTTTACAGAAAAACTACGATGCCAAATCACAGATATCTAAATCGCAAACGGTAAGCCACACACATTTATGCAGGGAGAGAACGATTCAAAACCGTCGGGTTGGAAAAAAAAGTGTTACAAAGTTGTAATTTCTTTGGCTTGATTCAGATCTTCGATAAACGAAATCGAAAAACAGAGAACCGTTTTTGAATAAATCAGTCGACCTTAGGAGCGATTAAATGAAAATGTTGGCGGTCGCCTGAGTCAGAGTTCATTTCGCGAATCGTAAATCGTGCCTTTCACTCAATCGCGAATACTGTGATGCGCACCACGCTGTATTTCTATGCGGATCAAAACAAAACAAGATGCAAAAAAAACAGAACCACCATAAAGTAATTTATTTAGATATGTTGTTGCGGTAAATAAATGGGCTGGACAGAAGAGGTTTTCATAACGAAATCATTGCGCACGATCGCGATTTCAAAGCTTTTTTGTGTTTTTGTCTTTGGTTGACAGGAATATATCTACAAATATATTTTTTTCCCATTGCTCACATTGTGATCCCACGATACGATTTCATTTCCTCTGTATTTAAAATTCGATATGCAATGATTTATATTTTTCTGGTCGACGTGAAGCAAAAATTGGAACGTGAGCTGTCGATAATAGTGCAATACACACACAACTAACGAATAAAACACTCTTGAACGAGAAATGAAAAAAAAAATTAATTGCATTCCACAGAGAGCACTGAGTCTAATGCATTTTCATCTGAATGTGAATTTATTTTATGTATGAGCGTATCGAAACTGTAAACGTCGAAAAGATGTTTGACGTTAGTTTTGATAGCACCAATGACTAATTGAAACGCCTTTTTCTCATGAATGCACACACGAAAATATTGTTTCCATAACAGTACATATTTGTATTAATTAACAATGCGTGCCATTTTCAATAAAACCATTGTACTTTGAGCTAAGTCACGAGAAAAACATATTTTGCAATTGCTTCTGCTCGTGCATCGCTCATAGAACGACTTCTAAAATACACATTCAGATAATATTATAAATGGAATGGCTTTGGTTCTATTGCATATATCTCTTAATTCATTTGGATGCGCCAGCTGAACTGAATTGCATTGCTAAACGATTCACTTGAGCATCTGCTTAACGAGATTTTTATTCTTACACTTTTCGCTTATTATCGCTCTGCACTTCCCTTCCCAATGGTAAACACATTCGTCAACATTCTATATATATGTATGTCATGAACAAAAACGCCAAACGAACTTGTCTCCATATTACTTATCTTTTTCTGTCTCCTCCTCGTCCTCTTGCTGCCTCTTGTTCACGCGTGCATTTAATTCATTTGCTGGTGTGGAAATGGTATTTGTGAGAGCGGCTTTGTTTGGTAAGTGATATGCAAAACGGTTTTTCTCTGATGCAACGATGCATCGTTTTATTAGGCGCAATAAACTCTTGTCGAATCGACATTCAAATTCATTGCTTCCTCTTCTTGATCATCACCACACTCGAGGCACACATACGTATGCGGAGACGTACACTTATCTCGCATTAGTCATATGGTTGCACATAACAAAGTTTGTAATTCAATCAACAGCAGCACATTGCTTGCACAAACGAACAAAAAAAAACCTATCGCATTTCACAAGTTGCAACATTCCAATCGCAATTACTCTTCGATACCAACCGGAATTGTAAGGAAAAAAAATCGAAAACTTTTTGTTCAACAATCACGCACTGATGCACCGTACCAAAAACTTTGCGATTATTATATGCATTCAATTGTTACGTACGTACGGTATTATGAGCAGTGATGGTTTTTTCCTATCTGAATAGCGCTAGCTATTCGCAGCGTCTGTACAGCATTGCTGCCCAGATGCTGAATCGTAGCGGTTGCCGCACGCGCACACACTTCGTTTGTACCACACAGAGCATATACGTTCGCGTTCTTTCTCTGTTCGACATGCGTTTGTATACTGACTATGGCATTAGTGTATCATACTCTGTGAGCTCACTGGTTACTTAGACTATATGACAATATGTTGTGTGGTGCAAAACGCGTGCGGCAACCGCTTCGATTCAGCATCTGGGCAGCAATGCTGTACAGACGCTGCGAATAGCTAGTGCTATTCAGATAGGAAAAAACCATCACTGATTATGAGTCTGAATTACAATTCATCCTATTGATAAAGTGAGTTAAAAACTTTCATTTCCAATTCGAGAAATAAAGTGCATTCAAGGCAGCACAGATATTCGCAACCAGCTCGACAATAATAACGATTCAGTGAATATATCGGTTGGCGTTGGCATTTCGAAATCAAATCATAAATTTGCTCTCTTTTGATTTCTTTGGGGGGCGAAGACAATGCAAAAGACTGATGATGGCATATTACTTCATCCAATGTGGACATTGCAAAACTTTAATTTAATTTATTATCAATGCGACGAGAGAATGCAAGATAAAAAGAAAAGATATAAAATGGTATTTGTCCTCGAGACATTTTCTTCATTATTTTTCAGTTTCGTTAATGGTTATTATCTTGTCAATGGAAAAATTGACAAATTTTCTCATAAATTCTGATTAAATTACACTTTGAACGCAATTCGCAGCGATATTTGAATCAAGCACTTTTTTATTATCGTTTTTCTTTTATTTTTTACGATTAAGTTTCTCATTGAAAGTTTTTTGCATATCAAAAATGATTAAAGTATGTAAATTTATTCTCTTTTTTTAAATTCGTTAATATAGTTCCCGCTTAAGTTATCGCAATATCAAGATAAAACGGCTGCCGATCATTTGGGCTTGAATTATGTTACCGAACGGATTTTGGCGTCGGTGCTGCCGAATCGAGCGCAGACCCAACAACCGAAACGTGATAATGAATCGACCGAGATCGGCGATACACCAACGCACGATGAATCACCGCAGGACATCTACGAACAAGAGTTGATCTCGATGCTGGAACAGAAACACGGAAAGGTAGCCAATTACATTCAAATCAATCAATCAATCGTTTTTGTTTCCCAGCAAAAAACAAATTGTTCTTATTTTATTCACTTGCATTAAATATTTGACCACATCGATTATATGTACGTTTCGTTTCAGAATTATAAATTATTTGATTTGGAGTCATGCATTTCGACGATAACATTGGAGAAATTGTGCGAATTGTGCAAACACATGGACTCTTGGCTGGGAAGTGGCCGAGAAAAAGTTGTCATCCTTCAAGATCGGTGAGTACGATAAAAATGGATGTATGTGTGTCTTTTTCGCATACAGTATCATATTGAGTGATTGATAAGATTGCGTGCATCGAAACTGGATCAAGTGGTTGACGTTCATTAAACATTGATTTTGATTGAATCGAGTGAGAAAAAAAATTCGAGCAAGAATTTAGTTGAATCGATTTTTATTGTGAACATGAACTCAATCGAAACGGAGTTTATTTGCACAGAACGTTTTTGATATTTGCGTGCATTTTATGCCGCCTGTCAAACGGATTCAGTATACGACGGTGTAATAAATGGATATGCGTCCAAACATCCATTACACAACGTTAAGCATTTAATAACATACCATTTTCATTTGACAAAACATGCATTTGTCTCTTGTTCACATTCGTGACACCAAAATCGATTCTTATGCCAATTTGACTTTCCCATTCGATTTTACTCACAAATACCTTTTCAACGGTGTATCAAACACTATGATTTGTTTTCGTCTAGCCAGTGTAATTTTGCACAAAAAATGGTTGAAATTTTGAATGAAATGAAAACAAACCATGGTGTTTGATACACCGTTGAAAAGGTATTTGTGATGAGTGATACACCGTTGGAAAGGTATAATTATTGTCAAACATTTTTGCTATTTTTTTCTCCACTAACACAAACAAAATTATAATAGAAATAAAAACAAACAAATTTCAATTTTGTATTTTTCCAAATTTTGGCCCAAATATATTGTTTGGGGGGGTTTCGGTAATTAAAACATTATTTTATATTTGAGAATATAGTTATTTCTGTGCGTATACATTGGAGGTTTTTCTTATACTAAAACTAACTACTGTGTCGGTGTGGTGTGTCTACAGAGACGCTTGCCTCTGTGACCGCTGCGACACACCGAGTACTGTGTGCGAATACCGTGCATTGGTATTGGTCGCCGCACTGAACAACTTATAATTCAAAATTAACTATTTCGATTAAATTGAAAAATATGGGGATATTTATGCAATTCTAGTGTTTCTAGTGCGTGAAGTTGGCTCCTTCATATACAATGTGTATAAAAAATTACTGCGAACCAACTTCACGCACTATAAACACATTGCTAGTTCTGCTAGTTTTTCTAGTATGAATATCCCCTTGTTGAAAAAATTTACAAACACAACATTTTTATGACAATCGAACCTTTTTCTCATACGAATGAAATTCTTCTAAGTACTTACTTACCGCGATCTCTTAAGGCATACGGCCTAGGCGTCCGATTGTTATCGTGTCCAACTTCAATCGTCCACCGATTATTAAAAATTGTTCAGGATCTTAATCGGCAAACGATTTGTTCATAATCAGCGACTGATTTGTTCGCCGATTTTCAAAAAATCGGACACGATTACAATCGGATGCAAATCGGACGCGAGGAAATAGGCCCTTTATTGGAGTTTTGGTAACATAGATCTGCGTACCACACGTATCCTTAAGCACACGCTTACAAACAAACCAATAAGATTCCTCGGTCGAACATACTTTTACTCCACAGTTAACTAACCGTTGACTTGTTGTACACAAAGACCGTTACATATTTGAATCGTTGCGGCGAAAGAGTAGCTCTTATTTTTCTCCAAATAATACTGCAACATAAATTTTTTTATGAATAGTTTATTTGTTGTATTACAACAAATAAACCGCGTGAAAAAAACTTCATGTTGCAGTATTATTTAGAGAAAAATAAGAGCTACTGTTTCACCGCAACGATTCATTTAATACAGTATCCATTATTTTGACAATAGTGTATTGTCCACAACAAACAATTTTCAATTTAATTGATATAAAAGAATTGTCAGAAGAAATCAAAAACCAGCCGAATTTATCAAGTCAAGCCAAAACCAATAAAATATTCTCAAGAATCATACAATATACTTTACCCGATGATTACCCGTCGGGTAATACCCGATCTTCAAAAATAGTAGAACATATAAATTATAAAATAAATGCTTCATTTTTCTATTTCGATCCCAACAATAATGAATGATCCCAAAACAGAAATATTTGAATCTGTCGAAACCATGCCCATTAGGCATAATTTTTACATTTAAAGAAACAAATTACACTCTTATCATAGTTATCTTTTTTTGTAACATTTATATTAATCTATATGGATATCTATTATAGGTTATGTTATTTTGGTTTATGATTTTTTGGTCATAATTCAAAATATTTTATATATCGAACATTGCTTCTGAGCAGGGGTCCGTAGGGTTGGATCACCCCCCCCCCCCCCCCCCCGCACCTGGAGAACAGATTTGGGAATTACCCCCTTTGAAATTTCAATTTTTTTTTGAGAAAAATATTCTTTCGATTTGCTAAGGATTTTCGCGAAAAATGTGAAGACCTTTTTTTTGCTCTTCACTTTCTAAAAGGGGAGAAATTATTAAATTTTGCTAGGTTTTTTGACGAAGAAAAAAATCTTTCAATTTTCTAGGGTTTTTTGAGACAAATGCTGTGAGACATGTGTTAAAAAAAATGACCCGAATAAAAAACTCATTAAGTTAAAGAAACGAAAAGATTTCCAAAATTCAAAGATTACTCTCTTCGTTCTCGTTTACAAGCGACCTACACATATTACACCAATACTGGTACCGTACTCTTTTAACTCGTTTTGAAGAGTAAACCCTTCATTTACTCCAAATATCAGAGTAACCTTACTCTAATATTTTTTTTCTATGCAATGGTATCTATTCCTCAATATTCCAAACCATCCTATAAAATCAGACTTAAAAAAACTATCACATGAAAACAGATAATGGGTGAACAAAAACGTACGACGTGTAACTCTCCCTCTCTCTCTCTCACACACACACACACACACAATACCGCAATTCTCTTTTTTCTGCATTGCAATTTGTGGCAGCGCATTTTAATCGCTTTTGATGGCCAATTATGATTGTGAGAGTGTATTTGATGCTGCAAAAAAACGGCAATTCTATGACCTGCAATTTACACAACACAATATTATTGAAATAAAATGTTTGCATTTCCAAACAGTTAATCAACGTTTCTTTTTTCTATTGGAATTTTAACATGCTTAATCCATTAGCGAATGTTTGTGACATCGCCAGCGTTGACATAACAACCGGAGAGTTAACTCTATTTTCTCACACAGATTTATTGGACGGTTGTGTCGCTTGAAATGGATTACTTTCGCATTTGATAGCGAATGAGCGTGAATGAATTTATAAACAGACTGGAGACGAAAGATAGAGAAGAAAATGAGAGAAATAGAGAATTAAAGGGAGAAAAAAGTGCAGCACTTTAAGTTGAAAATCAATATTATGTTAATCTAAGTTAATAAACGAATCGAATCAATAACTTATTGTAACAAACGATAAATAATTAAATAAAACGGAACTATTGTGGCACCAGCATCATTTCTTAAGAACTATAAATGCACATGCAACCAGCCTTTGTAACAAAACCAAAAAATTCCCCAATTGAACTAATGGAACGAGTGATATTATTGATTCAATGCATTTTCGATACAAACAGATACTTTCGGATGGAATCTCACATTCGAACACAAATAAAATCGCTTTGAGGCTTTGGAAGGCAAAGAGTTTAATTTGCCAAAGCACTTGATTGCTTTTATCAGTAAATAGAAACTTGCACACAAAACCATCAATAAATCATTGCAAAAAGAGAGAAAAAAACCGGGCATCTGGTAAATATTTCATAGAAATTCTCATTCGTTTATTTAACTTGGAACGGTCGAATGGTCGTTTATTGTGAAATGACCGCAACGTTCATTTAATGAAGACAAAACAATTCGAACAATTTTGCTGATGGCATTGATTGAGGCATCAAAGTTTTCACACGCGAACTTTTCCAATCTCGCCCCCCAAAAAAACAACAACAACCAAAACCGCTGGTAGATAGACGGCATAGAGATAGCTTGTTTGTCAAAATGCGCTTTGCACCATTGTGTATGGAGATTACGCTTGTTTGTTGTTCAAGCAAACGCCCATTTGACGTTGGTGTGCAATTTAAAATTTCTTTTGTGCAAATCAAATACTTTTTTCGCCTTCCTCCTCTCGCTCTCGCTTTACAAAGTCAAACATTTACAAGAGGCATTGCATCAATGGTTCTGACTTTTACATTGAAAATGTCAAAAAAATGAGTTGCGTGGTTGCATGAAGAAGAGATGATATATCAATTCTCATCTACTATTAAAGCACGTCATTTGGTATGTGCTTGTTTTGTATTTACTTTGAGAAAGTATCAAGTTGAATGCAATGCCCTCTTTTAATGCTCGACATGGAATCAGATGAAATCATTGGAAATGCATGTGCAAATACAATTGAATAAAAGTTGAATGAGAGCCTAGCCAACGGATAGAAAATTGCCTTCGAAATGCGATTCACGGGCGGTTTAATCTCAACTACATTTTTGGCCCCTTTGATACACTCGCCTCGCCTCGCTCAAAGTGTATTTGTATGTCGATTTGTATCTCGATTTCAATAGCTCAAAAGTGCAGTGCACCATTGAGTCTACTTACCCAGTGCAATAGATCGATTTCAAACGAATACGAATAGTTGCAAAGAAATGGAAAATATGATGAACGAATGCGAAACAAAAAATAAACGCGACAGCACATCGATAAAATTAATATAAAAAAAGTACAAAGACCGTGGTGTGTGTGTGTGTATGTAAAAACAAACGTCGCCACGAAAATAAACAAAAACAATATGTATAATGTATTAATTTCATGTTTCATCATTCATATCCGTTCGTCGTTTGGAGTTTTATCGATTCAATCTAACGGTGCATAGCGTAAAAATATGTTGAATTTTTGCGCGCTTGCACAAAACGACGAATCGTTTACGTTTCTTGCTATTTTCTTCTTCGTTTCGCATTTGGTTATTTCATTATTGACGAGATCATCTTCGACACCATGTCTGCCTAAATTAAAATGCAATTTGATTTCCATTCTGTTGTTGTGGTTTTGTGTGCCGCAACAAATGGATGGTTATCGAGCGAGTTTAAGCCGTAGAGCAAGTTGCCGCGTATGCAGTCTCCTTTCACAACCGCTTCAATTAAATAAAGATCATAACAAAACGATGACAAAAGAAACGAGAAACAAACGGATATTTGATCTTTATAGAAAATTATTATTGTTTGAATAGATACACATTTCCAAGAGAGAGGGGGAAAGAGATGCGCACCGCCGTGCGATCAATGTGACGGCGGCGGTGGGGAGTAACACATAATAAAAATCGGAGATAAACCACGAATGAATAGAAGAGCAGCTCGCTAAAGAGATGTATTTCTTTATATGTCTACAGATTTTTTTTTCATATGTATCCGACTTTTTCTTTTCTTACCATATTCGAAGCAGCCAAGACGGCACAAGAATGTGCAATGAGAAATAGAAGAAATGAGCGTATCTGGTTCGCTTTTATTGAAATTGATTGCGTTTAATGAGATCAGTTGTGAATGATTGTGCACATCAAACGGCACACTTTGGCATTTATGCGTTCGGAATATTGTCACAAATTGCTATCGAATTTATTTAATATTTTCGACATTTCCTGTGATTTGCTTTTGTTTTGTTTTCACTGTTTCGCGCACACAAACTGTGCAAATTGAACAAAAGTGATTTGTGTTGTCAAAGTGAAAAATTGTTCGTTTAAGAACAACCAAATGCTTGTTGTCGATACGAAATAGACTTGAAGTTAATTTTTTGTTTCGTTGGCTTGAACGAAAACAAAAAAGAAGACATTTCAAAGCATTTAACATTGTGCCCTCGTGCGTGTCTCTGGAATTTCAGTGCAAACATAAACATATACCCATACCCACCAGCAATAAAATTCACTAACGAATCACGAGTGTGTTTATCCAGAGGCCTTTCTCTGTTTTGTGTGTGTGCATAGTGAAAGAAAATAGCGGCGAAAATAAATTATTCTGGCGACAACAACATTGACCGACGTCATACACTTGACTCGCATGATTTTTTGTCGTTCGCCTGTTTGACCCTTTTTTCCGTGTGTTTTTTTTTCTTGTTGTTTGGTCTGCGAATCAAATTTTTTTGCTGTCGCGTTCCATTTCTTTTTTGCGTGTTATTTCACTTTTATTCTGGTTGTTTTTGTTTTCTTTAAAAAGAAGAACTTTTGCGTTGTTTACTATCGTTTGAGACATTGGTTGTTTGCGCTCTGCAAAATGACCTTAAGTTGAGCAGAAACAAAAACGACGTTACAATGCAAGAACCAAATGAAAACAGTGTTAAGTGAGTTTGATTATGTGAAATATGTTTCACAATTAAGTGTTTTGACATTGCCCTGAATATTTTTTGCATTTCGCTTTCAAAAAAAAAAAAAAACGGTTCGAAGAAGTGCAAATGAAGAGCGTTGATGATAGATGTTCCCATTTAAATAAAAACTTGACGCAAAACGCTATAAATTTAATTAAATGTTGTTCTCATAATTTATGTTTCTTTCCGCAGGGGCGATCGTCAACGATTGGGATCGGCAATCGCTGCATACTTGGAGTACTTGAACATTTGTGCATCAACCTACGCACATCGAAATGGTTTATCGAATGAAGATGCACGGGCCCAGAGTGCAATCGCCCGTAATTGGCTTGACTTGGACATTTTCTCCATGAAAAAGTTCCTTGAAGATGTAATCGGACCATTGCGAGTGCCATCACATCGACGATATTTAAAATACTTCTCCGGTTTGCTGTCAGGCAAAATAAAAATCAATTCACTTCCGCTCTACTTGCGTTTCATCACAATTGAATCACCACCATCGTGGCTGCAACACGAACCAATCGCATTGCAACAAGCCGAATGGCGAAGTTTTATCAAAATTTACGAAGGACTCAATTGCGTCTTCACTTCGGGTAAGTTATGTATTACCATTTAAGATGGAGAAATTCAAGCGGAAAACAATGTCGAAAAATCACATTCTTGATGGCAAACAATTGAAGTGTTCTTATAAGATGTCGATTTCGACCAGAATCAACAAGCGAAAAAGTTCCCACTTAAAAATATTAATAAATCTTTGATATTTCATCAACAGATATTCATGTGATACCAATTACAACCCGACAATTTATATATGAGATTGGCCAGTTACGATTACGTGGCGACGTGATTATTCGGTGCTATCAAATCACAACAACAACGAACGAACGAACATTGAACTTACATTCGGCCAAAACCATAAACCGCGAATTGATTTTCTCCACACAATTTCATACATGTGCCATCACAGAGCGTGATATAACGTTCTATCGCAACGAATTGGACTATGCATGTGACGGTAAGTTTTCGATAAAGAAACAAACTTTTCCTATTTTCAAAAGAACAAAAAAAAATTCATCGAGGAACGTTAATTGAACATTTGAAATGCGGTGTGTGTCGCCGTCTCTGTTTTTTTAGATCCTCGAATTCCGGTCGATCACAAAGTCACTTTACATTTTGGTGATAATAATCAGTTGAATGAAAATCGTGGTCTTCATTTTCAAAGTCCATTGGTGAAACTTGAACCATTGAATGCTGTCGCCAAATATAATAGCTTGGAACGTTTCGATGATGGTAAGTACTTGTATATCTGTTTTTTTTCTCGCGTACTTTGTATTCAAATAGAGAGTCTTCGTTAAGTTTGAACAAATATTGACATTGCCTAACTTCGGGCGTTAAGCAAATGTATACAAATATTCGCTTGGTTGGTTGTTTATGTTTCTGAAATAAGCGCATTGAAGTTGATGATTGAAGAATATTTTCAAAGCTTTATTTAAACAGTAGATTAAATTTTCGTTTGAAGAATTCCCCAGTTCGTTGAAAAATAAAAAAATAAATAAAGTTGTGACACTGAACCAAATATCGTCTTTCGCTCTCTTCTCTTGAACATTTGGGAATAAATTTGGAATGAATGCGAGCTCGTTTGGTGCTGAAGCGACAGACGATAAATTGATTGTAAATTTATTTGGTTCGACTGTGAAATGCAAGTTTTCTCAAGATCCGGATTGGAATTTTCTATCAATGTGGGATTTTCTCTCTTGGCGAAGACGAGCTTGCTATTCATACTCCCCTTTCCCTCTCTCTCTTGCACGGAAAGCAATGGATAGTTTTGTTGAACACTGCGAAAGTTTTGAACAACCGTATCAATGTGAAGAGAGCGAACAAAAAACAAATAACGACAACAGTAGCATCAGCAGTAGCAGATAAAAAAAACTATATGTGTCATCTCTTTATTTGGTAATTGCGTATTCAGACTTCAACAATATGAATGTTCAATTCGAAGACGCGCACGGTCCAAACAAGTGCACATAATCAAGTGATTTGCTGGCAAAGTTGATTTTTAGCTTATTTAGATGACAACCGGATAAAGTAACGGATCTTTTAGTTTCAATAAAATCATGGTTGTGCACAACGAGATGATGGTGTGTTGCATTCAAAGTAGAATAATAAAAAAAAGAATCAATGATAATGGAATTTTATCGAAGAAATATTGCAACGTTGTACATTTCGGTGCAGGATAATTCGTGACAAGGTGGATTCGTGGATATTTAATACGTGCCGTTGTTGATGTGAACTGATGCAAAAATGATCAGAAAGGTGGCAGAATTTTCAATATTTTTCTCTCTTCTTTCATTGATTTTCACGTCACGTTAACAAGCGATACGCAACAACAACTAAATGAAATATAATACACTTCTTCTGGTTTTTTTTTTCGTTGATCGTTATCTCAGTAAATGCTTCATTCTTTTTCGCCGCAAACATTGTGAAATGATGAAGAGAAAAAAAATTCAATGAAATGGACGAGCAATCTGTGGCGTGCGCTTTTATTTACAATCAAGTTCATTCACATGATCGCAATTTTACTCTTTCTCTCATTTTCGCTGTTCTATCTTTGTATGTGATGGTGCAAGGTGCCGTGAAACAAATCGATCCTTCTTTCAACGTTTTGTTCTGATTCAATGCACAATCATATAATGGATCTGTGGCAAATGCTTGTTGCAGTGTGTATATGTGTGTGTTGGTCATAAACATTTCAATTGTGCCGACGACGACGGCGCTGATGATGATTTTCTTCAATGAAAATTAGCCATGGTTGAAAAAGTGCATCAAATGTTCATCTCTTTCGCTCACTCGCTCTCTTTTGGCCGAAGATTAAATTTCCGAAGCAACTGAAACTCAATAATTAAGCTAATTTGACCAGCGAAAGTCTCGAATTGTCATTTCCGCTTTCTTTCTCATTTTTTCGCCGGGCGCAAAACGCATCGAAGCGTCTTTGCATCATTCGATGCTTGAAAATCACAACGAATTTATATAATTTTCTTCAAATTACACCATTCAGACGAATGCACTTTGTTATTATTATTGTTATCGAGTAACAACATGTTGGCAAGTCTCGGAAATCAAGCGTATAAAATATGGGCTGAAAATAAACGAAAAAATAAAACAACCGACGACCAACAACATACGAAGCAGATCATTTAGCTACGGCTTCATGTTTCTGCCTTCGCGTTCAGCAACATCATGAAAAATGAAATGCGTGCACAATTCACAATTGACTTTCATACATAAATTCATATTCGCTTCGCTACTAATTAGTTGAAATACACTGAATTCTCGAGAATAATAAACAAATTCGTCTTATATGACTACGCTCTTGGTTTGTTTGTCATTGTGGCTTACTCTCGTTCATCCATCCACAATGCGTAATTACGCTTTGACGAGATGCATTCAAATAGAATATCAGCCAGTTCGAGTTGTCATTTTTATTTTGGTCCAATGAAGAAATCAAAACATCGAGTAGCGACAATCATAGGCAGCACACGAGAAATCTCACACATTTTAGCCCGATCGCAAATCACATAAACAAACCGAGAAAAAACATACAAACACAAAAACGGAAAAACAGAAGAAAAAAGCGGGACGCTCTCAGAAACGGTGCACTCATATATGTGTCTATTCAATTTCATGTGTTTGTCGCAGCACGGTTTGCCTCTATTCAGTTTAAATTGGTTTTCAAAATCAAACACAGAGTTTTTGGTGTGAAGTGTCACTTCTACGGAAAACAGAAATTCTAGAAAACCATTTGTGCTGGGTGTCAAGCGACAAGAACCACTTTCAACAAATAAGAAAAATGCGTCGACCTGAAATTATTATGTCTGTTGATTGTGGCACACAAAATTGAGAAGAAAAAAATCAATTTTAAATGTTATTCGAATTGCGAAAGAGTAAAGAATTCGACCAGCTAAAGTGTATCTTCTGCTTCGAAAATTAAAAAGGAAATTCACGGCATTTTTGTATCGAAGAGGAAAACACGAAATGTGTCACATTAAACACGTTTCAAGGGATCAATCAATTGAAACTGTGTGGATGTTTAACACCAAAACAAACATGTTTTTCGCTTATTTTTATTGCGGTGGCCATTATTTGGGTTTTAAACCACCATTTATTTGAATTACGCTCGCGCCAAAAAAAAAAAAAACTTGCAAACACTCAATTCGTCACATCGAAAAATTGTGTTTGCACTTTTTTTGTAGAGCCATGCGTGAGTTTGTTTGCTTTTTTATAAAGCAAAATAAAAATATTGGCCATGATGCTCAAACTGAATGAGAAACAGCACTGTTTTTATCGGATATTGTGGCGCCATTTATAAATAAAAATGATCCGTTCTTTCAAACCATAACAATTTTTCATTGAATGTGTTTTTTGTCACCGTTTTGGTCCCCTTTCTCGGCAACTCGTTAATCCAACATTTTCAATCAGAATAATATCACTCATGTTGACAAAGTTTTGTTTTCGATGTGTAGGTTTCGAAACGATATTATCAGACACATAAACATCAATATGCGGAACGTATTGCAATTCTGAAAGAAGAGAAAATTGATGACATCGTCATCAAAAATTTGTTTTCATCAGCGAGGTTTCAATTTCAGTATCAATTTACACCGAATATTTTGACGTGTATCTTTTTGTTTCGGTCGTTAATCGGATCTCATTACAAGTATTAACATTTTTGCTCTCGCAATCTCTCTTGTTCTTTTTGTGTGATTTTTTATTACGGCAAAAATAGAATTTATTTGTGCGTAGGAATCAACGATTGATTAAAGTTTCATAGAAGAAAAGAATTCTTACACAATCTTGCGAACGTTACCTTCCTATTGTTATGCTCCCAATTGAATTTAAGCCGATTTTTCTCTTAAAAATTAGTCGCTTTGCATGCTTAATTTTATGTATATGGGTAAATTCAATCAAAAATCACATTAGGTCAGACTGAAATGCATGCCAACAATGGACTTTTTCTTTCTCTCTCTCTTGCTCTCTCTCGCTCTCTCTCTCTCTGTTCAAGCCAAACACGCACCAGATCGTCATTCATTTCTGTCATCTGTCTATTGAGTACTTTGTGGTCGTCATTGTCGTCGTCTTCGTCGCATAATAGACAAGAGCTCAAGCCAAAAGAAAGAGATTGATGAATTTTGCTCGATCTTTTTTCACACATAACAATTTGAAGATTTGTGTAGGCTTCAATATGAATGATGGTTCGTCTGTCGAGTTGCAATGAGAATAGCCGAGAGTGTGTGTGCGCGCGCGCTCGTTTCGGTTTTAAAATTAGATTTTCGAAAACGTATTCAAATGCATTGCACGATAAAAATGGGCTTAGTTTATTTCAAGTGCTTGGCAAAAGACGATACGATTTTGGCGTGAATTGGCAATAAACAAAGACGATTCTAAACCGAACGATTTTGTGTAAAAATCGAAAAACCACAAACGCACGCCTCGCATAAAGCCAAATCGATCAGTCAACAAAACAAAACAAAGCAAAATAAGTAAAAGTCTGCAGCTATTCAGAATCGTTCAATCACTTATTGTGGTTTTGTTTAGGGCGTCGAACGTGTATTTCCTTTCGTTCTCGCCAAAAACTAAGATCACTTTTGTTGTTCGCCTCAAACTATATTTATTCACAAGTCTAGCGCGCGCAAAATCACATTCACATTTGCATCCATGTAACGATACTCTCCAATCGAAGTGTTTTGAAAGGGAAAATCCACGGTGTGTGCTGAGGAAAGATATAGTGAAAAGTATGCGATCGTACTAAAATAGCTACCGACCGGCCGTGAATGTGTGTTGAAAAGTGAACTAGGCGAACGCGAGAGAGAAACAGAACGTGTGTGTTATTGTGAAAACCAACCGATTTTCTCGGACCGAACACTTTTCAGCTTATCCAGTTCAGTTAGAACCGGCATCGCGTCAACACATACAATCAGCAAGAGCAACATCGGGCACTCGAATGAATTACGCAAATATTGTGTTTTGAAAAAAAAAAAAAAAAAAAAAAAAAAAACTAACAGTACCGAAAAAGAAGTAAAAATAGACAAAATATATTTTGTGTATGTGAGTGGTTTCAAGTGGACATTTGTTCAAAATAAAAGGTTGTTCATTAGAAACAGAAACGTTTATATATTACAAACCGAAAAATATTTGCTGTATAAATTTTGTAATTACACATTTTGTTGTTTGGCATAATTTTTTTTTGTTCGCGTGTGTAAATTGTGACGAGAGCGACGAATAAGAAGAAAAAA